CCCTCCCATCCTCCCCCACTATCTGAGTGGTGTTTCTGATGCAAAAAATACAACAGATTGTGAGAGAGCTTGGTGCAATTGAAAGCAAAAACTGGCCTAATATAGCTGTGGGAATAACGTTGTTACAAAAGAGAGGGGGAGTTATACAGCTGTGGTGCTTAGTGGCTGCTAGCAATGACTGCTAAAATTAAACAACAAAAGGATGACTTACTCAATTTCACAAGTGTTTAGAGGTCAAGTATAAAACTCTTAACATTGCTTATGCCTCTGCTAATTGTGTATGTGGGTTAGAGGGTCTTGACCTGGCCTTTTGTCTTGAGGTGAAATTAATCCTTGGATCTGTTCTAATAGACACTAGCTTTCATAGTTGCTCTTCTGCCTTTCCCATCATTCTGACTTGTTTCATATTTTTTTTCAAGACAAAATAAATGACTGTTTCCAGTGGTTTTCAGTATTTGAATTGGAACTGTGCTCTATAAAATTTTAAAGGAGCAGGTTGTAGGTGTGGGGTCAGATTCTCCTCTCTCCTTTGGATAATTCCACATCATTCAGTGGATTTTATACAAGTGCATGTGACTGGGGAGTCAAGCTTATGGACCTTGTATTGGCTTAAAATATTTGTAGGCAAGAAAATCACTTAGTGCTGTACCATTTTTCTGATAAACTAAGTGGAAAGAAACCAAGATTTTGGGTGATTTTTGTAGCTTAATATAGAGTGAGTTTACTTTTGTATTTGATTTGGTTTCCAAAAACTATAATTTTTTTAAAGAAACAAAAGATTTGGTTTTTATTAAAACAATTTGAGAGCATGAGAGAATGGGAGTTAGAGGCAAAAAATGTTCAGAGAAAACAGTTATTTACCTGAGGACATTCAACCATTCAAAAGTTCTGCTACCTAGCAAATGCATTTTGTTCAAAATATGCATCAAGGTGTGAAACATACATTACCCAACAGAGCAAAAAAGCTCTTCCAGGTACTGTATATATTTTACTGTCTATGCTAAATCTTGAATAACCTCCCCACGTTGCCATACATGCCTGACAGAGCACAGTGACTCTTTCTTTCCAGCTGGCACATATGCTCACTATATGCAAAAAAATAACTATTTAAAAACCACGTACCCACAACATGAGCTAATTTTTCACATTTGAATAAGTTAAAGTAATTAAAATAAATTAGACCATTTGAAATCCAACTCTCTTGCTAAACTAATATTGAATTCCTGTTTTTCTAATCCCCTTTTACTGTTGCAAATTGGGATGAGCTGCATTAAAGTTAAATGAATGAATGCAACTCAGCTAATCATCTAAGACTATGTATAAAAACTCCCCCTCACAACCCTAAATTCCCTTGGAAACTGAATGGTGTTACCGCCTGTTCCCCTGCACATGGTTCAGCACAAAGAGGTATAGATTTAACGAGGATGGAATGACAGGAAGAGATTTAATGCTGAACAAAAGGGTGGAAATAAGTTTCTTGATTCCTTAAAATGATTTTTAGCTCAACTGATTTGAGTGTGGTGCTGATAGTACCAGGCTTGCAGGTTCGAGCCCTATGAAGGCTACAAGATCTTTTCTGCCTCTGGCAGAGAGGGTTGGACTAGATGACCACTCCAGGTCCCTTCCAGCCCTACTTCTCTGCAATTTTATGATTCTGTGATTTTTCTTTCAGAAGATCAGAAATTGAATCCTTTGATTCATTTCTTTTAAGCAAGGGTTTTAAAAAAGGCATTTTAAAATATTCTTAAAATTTTCTGTTACTGTAAAGGTATGAATATAATCTGAACATTGGAGTCTGTTGATTGGATAAAAGTTAGGATTTTCTTCAACGTTTTAGGTGATTCTTAAATAATAACTTACGGGAAACTTGGCTTTTATTTCAACTCAGTGCAGCCAGAGTTGTCCTGACTAGTTAGACCAAGGCTATGTAAATAATATTTGAATAAATAAATGCAATATAGCTAAGTGACTTTTTACCTGAGTTTTATCTGTTTTAAGTGGTTGGTCTCTGTGGAGTAGGAAGCCAGAGATAACTGTTTAGTTGTCTCTGTTGTGGTTCATGACCTGAATCAAGATTCAGATGCAGGAAGTTTTGCAGCGAAATAGGTGTACAAATGATGCTTGTAGCAGTAGAAAATATGATCTGATAGAATAATAATTAGGTAGGGAACAGTCTTGAATTTCTTTAAAACTACAGTTTTAATGATTTTCAGATTCCTTCAGGTGTCTGAATACATTCATTGGCATGTTTTACTTTTTAGGATAGAAGAAAAAACACAGTATTTCAATAGAAGAAAACTCTTATGCTAAAATAAGGTGTAGTTTGAGTTTCATGCATGGAACTTGTTTTAACATTAATTATTGAGAATTCTCTTATTATTTTAATGGTGGCTGTTCATGCACCTTAGGTGGAAATTTTATGGTTACAGAAGCAAATATATTTTCTTAATACATGTCTTAAATGATTTGTTATAATTTTTTAGTGGTAATCAACCCAAAGGAAAGACCATTTGTATTGTTCCTTACAAATTCATGGTTTCAAGACTGGGAATACTAAATACCTTTCAACTTAATGGTTAACACAATACCTTTAATGCTTTTATCTAGTGACATAATTAAGTCTTATGTCAGTGTATTGGTTCTTCGCAGTGGGTGTAAGCCAAGGAGATGCTTGAAAGATGCATGGACAAGTGGTTGGGAAGAAAAGTACAAATGCCTCGCAACTGTCAAGATCATAATCCTATATAGGTATAGGGAGGTGTCTTTTTGACTTTGTATCTGCCAAGATGATTATGTGATCAGGATTGGACAACAATACTAAATTCGGAATACTATAGAGATTAAGGAGAAGAGGTAGTCTAGTTGTGGTGCTTGAGCGCATATACAGAAGAGTCCCATAATGATCACATTGTGGAAGTCTGGCTAACATATCAGCTCAGGCTTAAAATCTTGTAGTTTATACCAATTAGTTTACGTTTTTGACAGTAAAGCTTAAAACACTTAGAGTCAGACCTTATTCTACTTACAGAGCATCCAAGTATGAGTCTGTGAAAGTTGCTGAAAATGTATTAGTGCATCTGTTTTTGTAATATACCATCATTTTACCTAAAAAGACAGCTAGAGAGAAGGACCCATCCCCTTTTTTGTATTAGCAGTTTTTCAGAGACTTAGGTAGTTTGAATAGGATCACACTCAGGTGCCTAGGTCGACTTATGCACCTAATAGATGAAGTAGAATCTGGTATCTGGAATCTTGCCATTTTTCTGCATTTTACTATTATTTTTCTATGCGCCCCCCCATAATGCTCTTGTCTTCATTAGAAAAGTTGTAGGTGTAGGATTATTCTCAAAAGTATGTGGAAACCATGTGTGATTGCTTTTGAAGAGAAATTAAATTCTGAATGCACAAGAACTTTATTTTCCATTTAAAATCCTCTTCAGTGTCTGAACTAACTTAATTTTTTAAAAATATTTCCTCTATTGCCAAAATTAGCTAGTTTGGAACTCTTTTTAAATGAAAGATGTGGCGTAAGTAGTTTTAATTGCATACCCAAAGTCACCAAATTCTAGATGAATTTCCAAATTAATAGGTCATCTAAATATAAAGTCCAAAAGCTCACAAAGTTCCAGTGGCACATAGCTGCAGGCTATTCCTGATGAACATAGCCCATGGATTAGGTCTGAAAACATGGTATCATTCAAGTTATTAAACTTACAAACTGTTAGAAAATGAAGTATTTCTAGTGTGGACTGCTTATTTTAAATTTTTGTTTTTTATACTTACAGAGAGACTCGGACATACAAATCTTTGTGTTTAAAAGAGTACACAGCTTTAAGGCTATTTATTTTCTAAAAAATATGACTTAACAAGAATATCTTTTTGACAGATATACACATGATGTTATTCTAACAAACTGCCATGCAACATATATCTTAAGTAATGAATAAATTGACTATACATGGCCTCCTCTATTTAACATGTATACTGAAAATTTACAGTGTAGCCAATACTTTAAAAAGTTTCCCTTATTTGGCAGTATTTTCTACAATTTGTTCATGTATTTCTCTTGGGTGATTGGGTGAATACAGAAATCTAGTCAGTGACAACCTGAGGTACTAAACATTTCTGCCTTACTTCGTTGTCTTCAAAAGTAATCTTTTTGTTCCTTTTAGGCTCTATCCATGAGTTGTGTATTACAGCATTATTCGGCATGGGATCTGCTTCCACTATTGAAACGACTCGTTTTTTCATTTTACTTTTCAGGACCTTCTGAAATTTTTGTCTAGTGAATGCATAAAGTAGAGGGTGAAATATCGTTGTTCCATAGGCCATAACTAGAAAACATAATCTTAACTTTACCAAAAGGTCACTTGGGCCCAAACATAAAATTGTAGTGTTTAAAACAGAAATTGGTGTCCAGCAGAGAAGAAATGTTGAAATAATCAAGAGGGACATTCTGAAGACTCTCTTTTGCCTTTCCCGTCGTTCACGGTGTCGCTTTACAGCTCGTCGTAGGGCGATTATTACTGAAACTGAAGTCCTTACACCAAAGACTACATTTCTTCCTCCGCTGCTTTGTGACACATCAGTAGTCTCATGTTGTGTGGTCAAAGAAATAGTTTTTTTCTTTCTAGCTTTTTTCTTTTGCCCTGTCGTAAATCTTGTGCCAATTCGAATATTAAGAGCCTGAAGTATTTTGGTGTATGTAATTAGCATTACTATAACAGTGAAAAAAAAGATTGGAATCTGAACTAGAAGGTGGTAGTACATTCCCAGTTCGGTGTGGTATTCGTTTGTGCTGACACACAAAAGCGTCTTATTTTCCCATGTACTTGCACTTTGAAGACTGAAAAAATTGACTTCAATGAAAGGGATAAGGAAGGAGAAAAGAGAGACAATCCATATTGACGTCATTAATATCACAGCCCTTCCCATTGTCAGTATTCGATTTGCAGGTTTTACGGAGATATCATACCGGTCCAAAGTGATAGCAAAAACGTTGATTGCAGTCGAAACACTTGCAAAGGACACACAAGCCTCATGGAAGCAGCAGATTAGAGCAGTGTTACTCTCCAGTGAGAGCAGAAGGATAACTATAGTTAGAGGAATACATCCCACACAAATTATTACATCAAGTACATGAAGGTTCATTGTAATAATGTTACTGACAGAATTGATTAAGTTGGATTTCATACAGTAAAGTACCAGCACAGTGAGGTTGCTGCCAAGTCCCAACACAATTTCTAACATCAGAAATCCAGTGAGAGAAACTTGAAAGCTTAATGGGTATGATAGTGGTTGGTACATATTGGTGTTGATGTCATCAATGGCATCTCGAACTGTAATGTTAGATTCAGACTGCATGTTGACTTCCAGAATGGGGGAGAAACACATTCTTTAGTTGCAGTTGGCTTTTGTCCTAAAAGGTGAAATAACATATAAAATTCTTTGATTTTGACACTTTTCATCATTTTAGATAAATATAGAAAAACAAGCATTTTATTCTTATCAAACTGAGATTTATTGTATAATTATATCCATGCTTTGAATTGTATTCAGAAATCTGAGCATCTAAAATAACAGACAGCTTTTAAAGGAGAACATGATTTGTTAAAAAAATGTTTTTAAATCCATTTACAAAGACAAGTGTTTCTTTATGATGACGTGGTGCTTACAAAAGACCCATTTGTGGAATAAGTTGTATTTGTGCATTGTCTTCACATTGGGTCAAAAGCCATTTTAGGAGAACATTCTTGTGTGTTAAAAAAATTAGTACCCAATATAAACTTAGTCAGAGGGGAAAATGGAAAGGAGTTACTTTTGAATAATAAAAATATCACTTAAAAGTTCTTTAATAGACTTATCTGCATCTTTTTTTGAAAACTTCTCTTGTAAAAATCTCATGGACAAACATTTGCAATTCTTAAGTTAATTTAGATTG